AAGTATTTGGTATTTCATATAATTCCTACTTTCAAATGTGTGAGTTACCTGAGCTCCCTAATTTTGCAGATAACCCTGTGTGTCAGGTCAAGTGCATCTGAGAAGTCAGTCCAATTTCTTCATCTTCACGCCTGCCCAACAGCAAGTCTGTGACTTGGTTGTACAGGATTAATGAAAGACATCACTTCCCAGCTTGTATTATTGTGGGCAGATACATCGTGTAACGTTCATAAGTGTGTCAATCCCGCTGATAATCTCGCGCTTTCTCGTATTGAAGGTCAAGGCAGAACTTAAAACAAGCTGATCTGTCTGCTAGCAGCCCGGTGATCCTTCAAAGACAAATGCATGGGTGAATAACAAACGTTCCCTGCCATCTATGTGGGCCAAAATGTGAATATTAAAGGCTGAGGCTCTATGGCTTTGTGCATTAAATTGAAAATGCAGTGCAGTGTGCTGTTTAAAGACACCCTGCACACTCAGAAGCAAGTTGTAACTTCCCTGGTGGACCGAGCTTCTTTATTTGCATATTGGGATTTTGACCTTTGCAGTTTTTCCTAATGATCCCCATGTCAGGCTGGTTAATCACCTTGCTGAACTTATCCCAGAGGAATGAGCACCCATTGGGCTTGCTAACCAGCTGCCCCAACTTGAACTTGGGTTGTTCCCTTGATTAATTTGTGTCTCACTCATCAGGCGCAGGACGAGAGGAACTACCACATCTTCTATCAGGTCTGTGCCTCAGCAAGTCTTCCAGAATTCAAAGAACTTGCGCTAAGTAAGTAGTCCTGCTTCCCTGGGGTCTGTGGGACATGCCAGCATGCGCTCAGTTAGGCTGTCAACAGGAAAACATAGTGGGTTTGGGAATGCCCATAGCTCTGCGGTGACGGCTCGAGGTGAAGGCAGCTGCTCTTGGCCCCGTTTGTGCAGGTGAGGTTTGTATTTGCTAGCGCTGTCTCAGGAGCCTCCTAACTGAGGCTTGTCAGTCTTTTGGCTGGAGGAGTTTTATCCTGTGAATCTATTATCCTTTTAGATTTGTTGTCATTGGTTAATTCCTGGGACATGTCCTGTTTCTGTGGTGTTTTTTTTTTTCTTTTTTTTTTTTCTTTGTTCTGTTTGTTTTTGCTTTTCCCAGGGTTTATAGCAAAACCCCTATACAGCACTTTGAATAAGCACTTGCACCTGCATTTGCAGAGAAGTGATGTAACTCACTGTGATCTTGACAGTATTTGCTGTTACTTAAAAAGAGAAGTGAGGCTTCAAACATTCCTCTAAGTGTTTAAAATGATACACAGGCCTGTTAAAGTGACTGAGACAAATGGACAGGCTTTCCCTCACAAACCAGGATTTTCACACCACTTGTCTGGCTGGCTGTGAACTCTGCAGAGAAGGTCTGTCCTCTCCCAAACAGGGAGTTTGGGGAGAGAAGGAGATCATTGCAGAAACCATAAATGCTCCCGTGGATGCCTTTTCCTGTTGCAGTTTTGATCTTGGTGCTCTTACGGCAGAGCAGAGCTCCTGTGACCCAGCTTTTTGAGCTATGTCTGTTAAGTGATTTTTGCAGGAACTGGTATTTAAAACTTGAGATGTTCTGATTTGTTGTTGCTAATAACTTGCTAGTAATTACTGAGAAGCTTTATAATTACATTTATGACCTCTTGATGTCTTTTTCAACATGCATTTTCCTGTGATCCTAATTGTATAAATTCTTCACTACCTACTGGGGCAGCTTAATGCATCCTTGCTGTGCAAGTCGTGTAGAGGGTTTTTGAAAGGCACCTTTCCAGCTTGCTATGTTTTCTTAATGTGGACAACTCTGGTCCTCCTAGGTAGGCTAACAGGGTTTCAACAGATGCTAGTAGCTGATCTCAAGACCCAGAAGAGCTGGAAACCTGGGGATGAGACCTCTCGTGTTGTGATCTAGGTTTGCTTTGTCTCCTGCCTATGCATTGCTTCCACTTTCTCTCCTGGCCTGTGTTTTTGTAGTGCTTTCAGATGCTACCATGCTAGGACATGGACGCCCCAAGGGACTGCGGTCCTGCAGTTTTCCCCACAGATTTGTATATGCTTGGAGTAGAAGTTTGACGTTCAGACTTAAAAACAGTTCTAGACTAACTGCGATTTTGTAAATAATAATTAGAAAGTGTTGTTTTTGAGTTATATGGAAATATGGATTTGCTGAGAAACAGTATTAAACGAGTGGAGAGCCTTTTGGTTACTGAGTAATTATCAATTAACGATTTCCTGCGCAACCTTAGGCACATTGGGAGCATTTGCCAAGGGTCTGTAAACCTTTGAAATGGAAGTGCTCGCGGTTTTGTTCTGCTTTTGAATGTGGGGAAGGTGTGAGCCATAATGAGATGAGGCCAATAACGACCTTAGCATCTCCCTTGGCTGATTAAGTGAAATCGAGGATGTCTCTTTTCCTGGTGGCAATCTTCATCAGTTTATAAAGGTCATTGAATAACAGACCTCCTGCAGTGGCTTCCTGGCGGTGGTTGCAGAGCCAGTGACGTTAGGATTGGACTTGATCTTGAAAGTCTTTTTCCAACCATAAGGATTCTACAATGTAGCCACGTGTTGGTGCTTGTTGCAAGCTCATGCAGCCACTGTTGGGCCCTAAGAGCACCTCCAAGGATTTTGGCCGGTGAGCTGTGTGGCTCATCTTAATGAGAATATCCTGAGTGAGACTGTTGCTTACTTGCATCCTAAAATCAGAAGTAATTGACTGCAACCCAAACTGTGCAATGAAGTGACTTGGTAGAACTCCAGCTGTGCAACCACTTCTCTTTCCTTGTGGAACATGTGGACCCGTGGAGATTTAAGCCCTCATGCAAAGCAGAGTTTCTGCTAGCAGAGACTGGTCGTACTGAAGGCTGTGGGAGATCCTGGTTTCTCCATGCATCTTCCAGGGCATCTTTACGCTCTTATGACTATGGCTTTCAGCTTCAGTTGTCCAGAGGGGGGAACATGTGATGGCAGCAGCTGGTGGCATAGGAGGTGGTGGCACTGATGATGAGGCTGTGAGGTGTTTCCCTGGAGGGGAAGGTGCCTTGGGTCATTTCTGCTCTAAATTTCGTGGTATGTGGTCATTTGTCAGCTGTGCCTTCCCTTCATTTGCTGTATGGTGGCAAGCACGAGTGGCCAACGGCTCCACATTAGAGCGGCAGTGGCCAAACAGTGTCTTGAAAGTTGGCTTTGAACAAGCAGCATCCTCCAAAAGGGGCAACTTCTTTGCAACCTCAGTTGTTTGGGATATTTGAGGTCTAGCTGGACAAAGTCCCACTGAGCTGGGGCCATTCAGAGCTGGTGATTGCCTCACTGACCCCAATTGACAGTTTCTGTCCCCAGAGTGGAGTTTGGGTCACAAAACCCCTCTGTTTCAGGGGGTTATATGCTTAGAAAGAATTAAAGGATTTTCTTGCGGCTGGAAAGCACAGTTAATGTAAAAGCCCACGGGGAGGCTGCCAAGAGAACAGGGACCTTCTGATGGCAACCTAAGTCGGAAAAGCACAGGCTGTGGCTACTAGCTGCCTCATGAGGAATACACCGTTTTTTCCTCATTATTTTCCCTTGTATGTACATATGAA